CTTGTCTTCTCCTCCCCGTCCTGCCCTGCCTCCGGCCTTGGGCCTCTCTCTGCGATAGCTTCGTCGAGGCCCTCCTCAAGCCAATGGGTGGCTTCTTCCCGCAGGATATCATTGTGGGCTTCCTGGTGCTGGTGTCCCTGCCCTCGACCGTTTCTTCAAACTCGATCCTGACCGACGCGGCGGCCGGCGACACGGCGGCCGCCGTCACGGCCTCCGTCATTTCCAACACCTTTGGCGTGGTCCTCTCGCCGCTCATTGTCCTGCTGATGATCCAGACCTCCTCCTCGGTGGGCATCCTTGGGGTCTACCTGAAGCTCGGCCTGACGGTGATCCTGCCGCTGCTTGTGGGCCAGGTGTGCCAGCGCCCGTGGGCCGCCGGCTGGGTTGGCCCCCTTCGCCGGTGGGTCCCCTTCGGCACGGTTCGCCAGGCCATGGTCTTGCTCTTCTTGTACTGCACCTTCTGCGACACGTTTGCCGCCCCGGAAAGCCCCCTCAGCGCGCCGGTCTTCTGGGCTGTTCTCGGCCTGGTGATGCTGCTCTACACCATTCTCTGCATTGTGTGCTGGGTTTTGGTGGCGGTCCCGCCGCTGCGCTTCACCCGCCCGGAACGCGTGGCGGCTTTCATGGTTGCCAGCCAAAAGACCATGGTGGTGCGTGGTCCACCCTCGGCACAAGGGGGTATCTTTTCCTTCCTCAGCCCCGCCTCCGTCCTCCATCGATCTCTGGCTTGCTCTTCCTCTCGGCTCCTGGCTCCTTCGCTCATTCCCCCCCCCCCCCCCCTCGCTCGCTCTTCCTCTGTTGCTCACTTTCCTTCGGTCCCTCGCCCGCCCATCCTCGCACATTTGGCCATGCGGCACCTAGGTCGGCATGCCGATGATCAGCTCCATGTATGCCGACTCGCCGGACTTCAATGTCGGTGTGGTGGCCCTGCCGGTTTTGCTGTTCCACCCCCTGCAGCTGCTCATTTGTGGGTTCCTGGTTCCAACCATGAAACGTACGCCCTCTCTCCCTCTCTTGTCCCATGGCAACCGATCTGTCCCCCACTCTGCGCCATGTGTCGTGCGGCCTGGGACTGACTCAGCATCATATCTCGCCCCGCCATTTGCCACCCCCTGGCTGATGATCTTGCTCGCTCGGGGCGGCCGGGTCTTTTGGTGCCACTTTTCTTTTGGGCGCTCTCTGGGGCTTCTCTTCGCGCAGTTTGGGTCGAGCGGGATGCCGCTCGAAACTCGGCGGCCGGGGCAGACTCCACCTCTGCGGCCGGGCAACTGGACAACGACGAGCATCTGATCGATGCCTCCGACCCAAATGCCATCCCATTGCAGACGCTGGAGCATGGTGGTGCCGGCCATTCGGTGGCCATTCAAATGAGCGACTTCGCCCTGGACTACCTGGAAGAGGACACCAGTGATGACCTGCTTCACATCTAGACCATCCTCCATCGTCATCCGTTCGGGGCGGGGGCTCCAGGGGGGGGGAGGGGGGGGATGCGACTCGCGCACCTGCGATACCACCCGGTCAAAATAGCAACCCTGGAACTGTCTGTCCTGCTGGGTGTTTTCTGCAACGCGAAGGTGTTTGCCAACGGGCGCGGGGGGGGGTCTTTCTTTTCTGGCAGGCCAAAATGCTCACACATGCACGCATGCGGCTCTGTGTGCAGGGAAAAATAGGTGGGAGGGGGAAGGCAAGGCAAGTGCCCAGGCCCTGCCCAAGCAAGCATTCGTGAGCCGCGGATGAGAGACAACTTGACGTGACAAAACACGCCCGGGTATATGTGTGGTATATATATTGGGGGGAAAAGAGGGGAGGGCGCTCAAGGGTCGCGAACTGGAGAGCGACTTGAGAGAGGGGGGAAAACTCCCTCGGGAGGGGGAGAGAGGGGCACATGCATGCGCGAAACAAGGGAGAGGATGGATGATGGAGGAGATGGTAGAGGGGAAAACAGGAAGACAGCGTATTGGGCAGGCACAGAGGCACGGTAGGGGAAGATGAGGGACGACGAACAGGGGGGGGGGGGGGGTCGACAGGCACAGAGGAAGTGGGAGAGAAGGAGAGCACGCGCAGCAGGTAACACACGCTCACACGCCCACACATGCATGCATGCATGCATGCATGCACCCATGCGCGATTGGCGGTGGTAGCTCAGCTGCCTCAGTGTGAAGGGAGAGGAGAGGAGAGGCGCGGAGGGTGCGACAAATGCACGGAAAAATATGGACGTGTATGTGTGTCTCTTTCTCTTTCGCCCAGAGGGGAGGGGGACGTGTCGGTGGCAGGCATCGCACTTCCCTGCAAGTGGCGTCTGCGAGCGCGCGCGCACCAGCGAGAGGGGGAAGGGAGAACTCGAAGCAAATGCCAGGAAGCGGGGCCCGGAAAAATTGGAGCAACAGAGGCCGAGACCTGACAGCGGGTCAGCGCCTTTCCGTGTGGACGTGGGAGAGGAGGGGGGAAGGAGTGGACATGTCCGGCTGTGTGTGCGTTTGTGAGCGTGTGTATGAGCCTCTCTCTCTCTCTCTCACCGACTCCTGCCTTCTGCTATCTTCTTTCGGCCCTTCTCTCGGGCACATGTCCGCACACACTCATGTGCGCGCCATGGCCTGGGTCGCGCGCCCCACCATGGCAGAGGAGCGGAAAGGGGAGACCCCTGTGTGTGTGGGGGGGGGTGCGGGTGTGACGAGGGAAGAGGCACACAAGAGGAGCCACAGAAAGGACAGTCGCCATATGCCCATACGCACCAAGCCAGTGGTGCGATAGAGGCGCTGGGAAGCGGCGAGAAGAGGAGAGAGGCGATGGAAGAGGGGCAAAAAGCGAGGGGGCCGGATTGGGACAGCCGGAGGAGACACGGAGAGCACATCACCGGGCGAGGGGATACGGCTGCGCCGGGCTGCGATCGGTGTGCCAGAGAGCCATGCTTTCCAGGGCCACCGCCCTCCTCCTGCGACCGCGGCTGTTGAGGGTGGTTCGTTCTTTTCTTTTCTTTTTTATCTTTTTACTTTTGTCTTTCTTGACTGCATATCCAATGAATGAGACCCAAGGAGCCCCTCACAGGGCGCTCGGCCAGCGAAAGGGGATGCATGGAGGCTGCACACACCCCACATCGAGGGGAAGGCCAAGGAGGGGACCTGCTGGGGAGACGGACGGCGGCGGCGGCGGCGGAGGGGGAGAAAAGGGGAGGGCCAAGGTGCGTGACTATGTGCACGGGCGCACGCGCGCGCGCACACACACATACACACACACACACACACATACACACACACGGAGTCCACCCCCGCCCTGGGGCCCGGGGCCACTGCATCCTGGCCGCCACGTGCTCACTCGCGCCGCTTACATGCTCAGAGCACCCTTGGGGAAGAGACGGGTCTCGATGGCCAGGCGGAGGACATCGCGCAGCAGCTCCTCCGTGACCACGGGATGGGAGTAGGAGAAGCCGAGCTCCTTGCAGATGAGGCTGCCATCGATGGAGAGAGCATTGTTGGAAAGCAGCTCCTTGTCCAGGTACGGCGAGAGCGGGGTGCTGGTGATCTGCTCGGCCTTGCAGAGCTCGGACCAGGGCTGCAGGTGCTTCTCGTTGCCCTCCTCGGTGGCAGAGTCGAGGTTGAGCTTGGCCAGGTTGGACACAATGGACCCGTGGTAGGAGCTCTTGATGCCGAAGATCTTGCACACCAGGGAGGTGATCTTCTCCTGGTCAGTGGCGCCGGTGTCGGCCAGGTTGTAAATCTTCCCGGCGGGGGCCTTCTCGCAGACAAGGAGGATGGCGCGGCAAACGTCATCGACGTGCACGGTGTTCATGAGCAGGTCCTTGGTCCAGAGGAGCTTCATCTCGTCGCCCAGCTGCTTGTACACGGCACCAACGACCAGCCGGGGGGTGAGACCGGAGATGTCGGCCGGGCCATAGACGATGGCGGGGCGGAGGATGACATAGTTGAGACTGGGAGTGACAGCCGAAGGAAGGGAGGGGATTAGCGTGGGGGGGCATGGGGGG